TCAGCCGTTAAGCATCGACCTATGATCCAGGAGATCAAGGTTTGATTCTCAGTCAGGGCACATACCCAGGTTGCAGGCTCCATCCCTAGTAGGGGGTATGCAAGAAGAGCCAATCAATGACTCACATCATTGATGTTTCTATCTCTCTCTCCTTCTTCCTTTCTCTCTCTGAAATCAATAAAGATATATTCTTCCTTTCTCTCTCTGAAATCAATAAAGATATATTATTTTTTAAAATCAATGGAAAAATACCCTCGAGTGAGGATTAACAACAACAACAAAAAATCCTAACATTATTATCACTGTGGGATGGAGTCTCAGGATGCAAATTCTTAAGTTCTTACTGATTTGTATTTTCTATTTCTTCCCCCAAGAATAAGCATTTATTACTTATGCTATCCAAAAATGATAGAAAGGGCAAAACTGCCTCTAGATTTCAATATTTTCAATGAATTCAGTGGGCTTCAGGCTCAGCATTTTGAATTAAGTAGGTTTGGAGTGGAAAACCACAGGAAGGGAATTGTGACAGAAACTTCTAACTGTCCTCCAGTCTGTTATTATATAATAGAATTTCTAGCTGGACACACGTTCACCCAGTTTCCTAGCCTCCCTTGCAGCTAGATGGAGCCCATTTGGAAGTAGAATTGATGTATGCAACATCTGAATTTTTGCCCTAAAGGAGAATGTCTTCACTTTCTCCCTTTCTGCTGGAATGTAGATGTTGGGGTTGGAGCTGGAGCAACTATCTTTATAAAATGGAAGTCATGTATTGAGCGTAGCAGCAGAAGAGAAAGAAACTGAACCCCGACACCGCTAAACTGCCACTGTATTTTTGGCATTTTGTTTGTTAGTTGTTGAATCTGTATCCTAAGTAATACCAAATCTAAACATTTATTTATTTATTTAACTTTAAAAAATGTCTTTATTGATTTCAGAGAGGAAGGGAGAGGAAGAGAGAGATAGAAACATCAATGATGAGAGTAATTGATTGGCTGCCTCCCGCACACCCCCTATTGGGGATTAAGCCTGCAACCCAGGCATGTGCTCTGACAGAATCGAACCTCAATCTCCTGGATCATAGGCTGATGCTCAACTACTAAGCTACACTGGCCAGTTTTCTTTCTCTTTCTTTTTTTAATGCTCATGCAAGGATATTTTTTTTCCATTGTTTTTTAGAGAGAGCAGAGGGAGACAGACACACACATCGATTGGTTGCCTCCTGAATGCACCCCAATCAGGGCCAGGGATTGAGCCTGCAACTGAGGTCTGTACCTTTGGCCGGAATCAAATCCAGTACCCTTCAGTACACAGGCTGATGTTCTAACCACTGAGCAAAACTGACTAGGGCCCAAATCTAAACATTCAGTAGAACAGTGCTCCAACTTCCTGACCTTGAAAACAAGTGTGCTCTTTAAAAAGAACATACAATTAAGTTAGTCAAGCTTTCTTTTCTTCATGGGCACAAGGACCCAATTCTACTTCAGGGATTGAGCGTGACTCCTTAATCTAGGACATGTTATGTAATAGGGATGGTGAAGAATCTGCAGAAATTAATCTGGTACTTTCAGCAGATCATGTATACATGAGCTCTTTCTGCCTGACACTGTCTAACCTTCTCCATACCCCCCCCCCC